GTACGTACGTACGTAACGTACGTACGTACGTACGTACGTACGTACGTCTCTCTCTCTCTCTCTCTCTCTCTCTCTCTCTCTCTCTCTCTCTCTCTCTCTCTCTCTCTCTTCCCCTTAGGGGAATTTGATTATTTCGACGTTAAAATAGCGCATACTACGATTTATTTCGCTCGTTGTTTGAAAATTCTCCGTCTATATAAGAGACCGAATCTCGATCAATTTGTATTGGTGTTGGAACAGCGTCTACGATACAGTCTCTTGATATTCGCGAAAGAGAAACATTCCTGAATAGAACAGTCCTTTTCCGTATTACCGGAAAATTTGGAATTATGGCACCCCTAATGTCGAGCCATTCATTTACTTCTCGTTTGATGTCGCGCGGCCGTATCCTCGGCGAAAATTGCAATCGCGCGTTAATTCTCCCGTCTTCGCCCTCGCCCTCTCCCCTTCTCCCCTTCTCCCCTTCCCCCGGGCACCCTTCGTACGATATTAAGCGCAGATAAATAAGACGACGAGCCGTGAAGAAAATTTCTGGAGCTGCCAGGCCGCGTCTCGGGATCTAAAGTTTATTACAAGCCGTTTTCCGCGCAATTACGCTCGACGACGCCTTCCTCTCGGAATATCAGCGAGCGAGAAATGTAAGCGAGTAAGAGAGAGTAAATGGGAGTAAGAAATGTATACATCTTTCGAAAATATCGCGAGACATGTATATATGCGAGCGACGATAGAGCCTCTCTTTCTCTCTCTCTCCATCTCTCTCTATAGTTTGCCAGTCGAGATGAAGCAGTACGTAAGTACGGTGCTACTATCAGAACTTCTTGTAATTCGATGGATATCACGAACATCTGAATTTTCAAAGGGGAAAGTTTATATCCCTTTCCATGCGCGTTGCTCGACTCGGATATCCAAAACTATCTCCCTTAAATTGGATTCATACAAGACACAACGCGTTCCATTCAATTTTCCTTACGATGTCTGAGCACGGAGGTACCACAAATCAGTACTGAGATCATATGAAGAGAACAAGCCAATGTATTAAAATAGGAAAATTTCCAAACTTGCATTATTTTCTTAATGCGAGAATCGTAGAAATTTTAAATTATTCATTTACAGTAATAAAAAACGTTGAACTTCAGGGAATATTTTTATAAAGAATATTTTTATTGGCAAATCTAAAAATTTGGGTAGATCTGAAAATAATTTTATTGGGCCTTCACAATTATTAGATACGACGTTCAAATTGGTTGCTATAACGTCAAAAATTTTTACAATATTATTATTATTATTTGTTTAAGCGTCCTAAATAATAATCTTAATAGCCCAACCAAATTATTTTTAGATCCGCATCTGGCGAAATTTTTTTTAAATTTGCCAGCTGCAAAACTGCTCTCTCGGTGTTTGATAAGCTTTTTACTAGTTTTGTTCTTAAAGTAGATCCCTAGCAAGGTGCGAGTTAACCCGCCCCCGTACCAAGCCCTTGAATTCCTCGAGGAGCATCATTCCGAGCGATCGGGGGATAATCGCGCGACGTGAGCCGATTTTCAGCTCCGCCCTTTAACGCTTTAAACCTCTATTAGGGTGGGCGGCGGGAACAACTCCTTGGCCACAATGTCCGGTCCGCGTTCCCGAGACTCGGGAAAGTCAGGAAGAAGGGAGTGGGATCGCGTGCGAAGGCGAGTTTAATCAATGTGCTTTTGACGTCGCCCGACGTCGTCCCGATAAAGGAACCCGCCACCGCCAAAGCGAAAATATCCCTTCTTGCCAGAATGGTCCCTAACGCGTCCTTCGTGTACCTACCTACCTATCGAAGGGCTTCCGCAATTACACTGTGAATCTATTGAATTTACCAGGAGACCCTCCCCCCTTACTCCTTCCTCTCCTCTCTCACCCTCTCTCCTTCAATCGCGCGCGGCCGCCTCGGACTGCCCCGGGATGGAATTTAATTTTACTTGGAAACACGATCGCGCCTGGTTGTGTTGTTTCGCGTCAGGAAGCGCGTTATTAAGCGGACGAACGGGGAAAGAATCCCCGATCCGAGCGCGAGATGTAAAGTTCCGATTGGCGGCGAGGAAGAGCAGGTTACAAGCCGCTCCCAAGGAATCGAACGCAACGTCGAATACGACGATAGCGAGGTAATTGATGAGAATAAGATGGGTGAAAGTGCGAGGGAAAATGCAGAATTCGGCACTCGTCCAGGAGGTGCCACGAGAGGAAAAGGCTCGCCCTTGAAGGGGGCGACGGGATTAAGAATGAATATCGCGTCGCTCCTTCGAACAATTGTCGAACGCAGGGACATCAAGAATGCAAATCGACTATCGGACTACAATCCTGTGTGTGAGAGATAAAAGAGGCAAAGTGGACTTCCACGCACCCAACTTGCGTCGTGCAGTTGAGAATGACTTCTGGAAGGGACGTAGATGACAAATACATGGTCGTATAATTCGTCACGCGGTGTCAAAAGGAAGAGGGACAGGGGAGGAAGAGGAGGAGGAGGAGGAGGAGGAGGAGGATGTGAGGAGAAGAAGGAAGACGACGATCGAGACGAGACGCTTTGTCGATTGTCATTCAAATCGCCTCTCGAATTATTCACCGGCGCCGTTCGGAACCTGTTCCGCATGCACACGACGGAAGGCGAAGTACCCGGTCGCGTGAATAGCATTATCGTTGTAGCGTTGCTGTCGCTGATAAATTTATCGCGGATATTAATCTATCGCGTTACGCGAATCGCGCCGTTTTCAACGCGCCCGAACGTTCGGAACGAGATTCTGAAAGGAAAACGAAGCGCGGGCTTTTTGTACATGGAAAAAACGGTTTCCGGTTGAAGTATCTAAAAATTCAGCGAAGTATAGATCTAAAAATAATTTTGATGAAAGCAAAATAATTATGCAGAATTTTTACAATGATGATTATATTGCAAGAATTTTTTATATTTCAATTTAATATATGAAGCCCTATATGAATATTTTGGAAAGCGTGATTGACATCTCATTTCAAAATTTGAGGAATGTATAGTCAGATTAAATATCATGATGATGATGACGTTAAAAATATATTTCACGACGAGAATATTTATGTATTAAGTTGATCGAATTTGTTCTTTGTTCTTGTATTAATTACTTCTTTCTTATTCT